TTGAGAGGCTGAGGTGGGAGGATTACTTGAGCCCAAAAGTTCAAGACAAGCCTGGGCAACATAACAAGACCTTGTCTCCAAAAAATAAAATAAAATAAAAATCATCCTCCACTCCTTCTCTCATGTCCCCACATTCAGTTTTCAAATCCTGAGCCAAAGACCCCACATGCTCCCTCCTCTCCCACCAGCACTGCCACCAGCTGCACCCCCTCCTTGCTGGCACTTGTCTGCAACACAGTCATTGCCTCAAAACTGGAGGCCCATCCCAGGTCCCACCCTTGCCCACCCATGCTGTCGTCTACTATGGGTCACTTCCTTGAAGCACAGAGCTGGAGGTGTTACACTTCTGTTCACACAGTCACTGGCTCCCCTCGACTCTTAAATCTAGCCCAAGCTCCCTGCCTACAAGTCAAAGGCCGGCCCAGTGGGACCCGGTCTAGCTGCCTCCCAGATCCATTGTTCACCACCCACCCCTCATAGATGCTAGGCTCTGTCCAAACTGAACTTCTCACCATCTGGGGACATATGTTCCTTCTGCCCAAAATAACCTACCCCTGTCTCCACCTGTTGAGATCTATCCCTAAAGGATTATTCAATAAATAGTCCTGGAACAACTGGTTAGTCATTTGAAGGAAATTTTTAAAATTCTTCACCCATACTATACACCAAAATATATTCCAGATAGAGTTAAACAGAAAATATAAATATATAGTAAAACTACATATATAAAAACAATACCACAAAAAGTCTCTAAAAGTGTTCAAAAAACGTGACTACTGAGTACCTGAAATGGGAGAAGATCCTAAGCTTAAAGCAAAGTATGAAATTTCAAAAGAATCAAGCAATGCAACTGACTCATTAAAAAGAACCTGACTTGTTAAAATCACACTGATAAAATCACCGGCATGGTGGCTTCTGCCTGTAATCCCAGCACTTTAGGAGGCCAAGGCGGGCGAATCACCTGAGGTTGGTAGTTTGAGACCAGCTTCACCAACATGAAGAAACCCTGTCTCTACTAAAAATACAAAATTAGCTGGGCTTGGTAGCACATGCCTGTAATCTCAGCTACTCAGGAGGCTGAGGCTGGAGAATTGCTTGAACCTGGGAGGCAGAGGTTGTGGTAAGCCAAGATTGCACCATTGTCCTCCAGTCCAGGCAACAAGAGCAAAACTCTGTCTCAGGAAAAAAAAAAAAAAATGAACAAAAGGGGCCAGGCGCAGTGGCTCACGCCTGTTATCTTTATAATCCCAGCATTTTGGGAGGTCGAGGCAGGCAGATCACAAGGTCAAGAGATCCAGACCATCCTGGCCAACATGGTAAAACCCTGTTTCTACTAAAAATACAAAAATTAGCTGGGCATGGTGGCACGCACCTGTAATCCCAGCTACTCTGGAGGCTGAGGCAGGAATCACTTGAACCTGGGAGGCAAAGGTTGCAGTGAGGCAAGGTCTAGCCACTGCTCTCCAACCTGGTGACAGAGCAAGACTCTGTCTCAAAAAAAAGAAAGAAATGAACAGAGGGATAGAGAGTTCTTTTCATGAACAGAATGTTGGGTCCTTCATGTAGGGAAGTTGCATTAGAGAGGAGAAATCAAAAAGTTGTTTGGTTAGCAAGACACTAGAGAAGGACTTGGGTGGACATCTTTCACAAAGATCAAATGATGCCTGACATTGCATTCCTACCTTAGGGATTTTTTTTTTTTTTTTTTGAGACAG